CCTACAACGCGACTATGCGTGGAATAGCAGACATGAAATATGCCATGTTCCCAATGCTTGAGAGAATACCGGGGTTTCGGAGGTCTCATCTCACAAAGCATATCGATTTTATAAATAGTGTTATACTCAGCATCATCGACAAAAGAAAGAAAAAGCAGGCCAACAATGACAGTGTTTTAACAAAAAATTTGACCGAATTGGAAAGCACGGATTTAGAGAATAAAGATTTACTCCATTACTTGTTAAAAGCTGAAACAGATGAGACAAATTTAAAGAAAGCTTTGACCACTGAGGAGTTATTGAACGATCTAAAGGTATTCCTGATCGCGGGTCACGATTCCACAGCTTCTGCCCTCAGTGCCACATTATATTATCTTGGGAAGAATCCGGATTGCCAACAAAAAGCACGTGAAGAGGTTATCAAGATCATGGGAGATGAGAAGCGAGATATTATACCCACCCTTAATCAAATTAAAGGTATCGTCACCTACTTAGTGATATGAACCTGCAGCATCATCCTGATTCATGAAGTTGATATCGGATTGACCAAATTTTTAGAAATGAAGTACATAAACATGGTCATTAATGAAACTTTAAGGATTCATCCTCCAGCTCCGGGTCTCAACGCACGTGTCACACAAAAAGAGACGAGCCTTGGGGAATATGTGTTGCCCAAAGGTATGTATTATAATTTTCGTGATGCATTTGTCACTTGTGACTCTAACCTGTATCAACCACCTTAGGCCAGGTCGTGATACCAAATCTTTATGCATTACATCATTCAAAAAAATTGTGGGGTGATGAGCCGTACAGATTTCAACCAGAGAGATTTGCTGACAGCGAAGGTAATACGTTACAATCATATAAATTCACACCATTTGGCGGAGGTGTGAGAATTTGTATTGGTATGAATTTTTCATTGGCCGAGCAACGGGTGTTTTTGGCCATGCTAGGTGAGTTGATTTTGTGGAAGGATAACAGATCACGAATTCTACATTATACCATTGTATTAACAGCGTCGAATCAATTTACCCGATAAAGTTAGAAAGTATCGATGGACAATTCCCAAAGAGACTATACATAAAGATAAGATTGAGGTAAATAATTTTTCTTTCACCATCATTTTCCCATGCGTAATCATATTCATGAACCATACCAATTTTAGGTTAAAAGGACGTACCTTTCCTTGCTAGTTCCGAAGGATCTACACGTTACCTTTGAAAGAAGGTATTGATTAGATTGGTTAGTTCATTAATCAGAGTTCGATTCGATTATGGAAATCAACTTTAATTGGACCAATCAAACTGAGCTGAATTGAGAGCTAAAGTGAGGTAGCAATTAAGAGTTAACTATACCAAAGTAATCATCGCCGCCAGAAGTTTTAGTAAAGTCTTTGATTAAAATGAGAACAGAAGTTCAAGGCGCAATCACTTGACACTCGTCCTGATGATTTACGAAACTTAATTAGTAGCCATATATATTTTTTCTTTGTGGAGTTAATGTAACAAAGGAGATTAAAAAAAAACAAACTCGCATTGCCCCTGAAGAATTGATGTTTCGATATTTTTGCAAGAATGTGATAATGCATCGTTTTCGATTCATTAAAGATTTTTTTTGAATCAAGAAAATGAAAAAAGTCTCGTGTATCTTAACCTAATTTCTTTTCGAACACTATGTCATAGTAAAATGAACAAGGAACGTGAAGAGTTACGTACATTTGATCTATACTTTAGTTCACGGCACCTCGATATTAAAGAAACCGTACCGTTCTCGTTTTTGACGATACGCCAAGAAAGAAGATTTCTAGAATTCGCTAGGTTCGTTAGTTCGGTGGTCGATCTTCGACACTTTCCCATTGTCACCAATTAATCTATTATGGATGGCGCTATGCGAAGATTTAATAACTAATTTATCATTCGATCCATACAATAAATAAATGCGAAGCCCGTTTACCGTATGAATTTCATTTGGCAACTTTGTAATTTCCGACTGCCGTATTCTGAAGTAAATATTCATATGAATTGGGAGGTACCTAATAAATTACTCGACATTCGTACTAGGAAAGGAAGTGCTTAAAATAAACTAGTAGTAACTCAATTAATAATCCAACAATTGGAATTAGAAATCGCAATCCGACTGCGCTGATCTCTAACCTATTGTGGTTAATTCATTCCAAGAACACTTTTCCATAACTTTCAACATGATCCAATACTTTATTTATGATGGATCACATGCCAAATGCGTCGCGAGTAGGGCAAACATTTTCAGCCACTATTTATGACGTAATAAGCAAACATGTACCGGATACAAAAAGCGTTCATCTCCATATATATCCATTTTAGTGGTTAAATACCATACAACTGCGGATTTAAATAAAAGTTTACATACCGCAGTAGCACATAGGAGGATTAGTGCCGTATAAATACGAGACATATCACCAAAATTTCAAATTCAAGATTCCTTTTTGTCTTACTGGATCCGCCCTCCGGCCTAAAAAAAAAAATGTCAGAGTCTCGCCATAAAAAACCTGTTCTTTATTCGTACTTTCGATCATCCTGTAGTTGGCGTGTGCGCACTTGTTTAAATTGGAAAGGGATCGATTATGAGATCAAGCCTGTAAATTTGTTGAAAGAAGAGCAGGTTATTCTCCGAGATTTTTCCATGTGAAATATACATTATGCCTTTGTGTAACAATAAATTTTCCGGTTAAAAAAAAAAAACAAAAACAGAAAACATCAGAATACACCAAACTAAATTCTCTTCAGGAAGTTCCAACTTTGGAAATTGATGGATTGGTGTTAACCCAATCAATTGCGATAATTGAATATCTTGAAGAAACCCACAAGGAGAATCCTCTGTTACCTGAGGACCCTGGAGAAAGAGCTTTGGTAGGATTATTATATCCGCGGATTAATTAAACAAAAAAAATGTTATTCACCTCTTTCGTTCGCACGCATGTTCTAACAAAAGGTTAGATCGATTGTGCAAGCAATCGCGAGCGATACGCAACCGGTAACAAACTTGAGGGTCATTAAATACGCTGGAGAAGATCACAAAGAAGAATGGGCCAAACATTGGATGTCTGTCATGTTTAAAGGTACATCTTTATTTTCTTTATTTCTTTCTTTAATACCATGTGCTGCAAACAATGAACTCTCAACCTTAATCATTGAATAGGAATCGAGGATCAACTGGCAAGAGTGGCGGGTGATTATTGTGTTGGCAATAAGGTGACACTTGCTGATGTCTGCCTAGTGCCACAAGTTTTCAATGCTCAGAGGTATACATTTATTATCAAACTTACCACAGTTATTTTCCTATATTCATTTTCTTCTTATGATGATATAGAGTTAATGTCGACATGACACAATTCCCAACTATTCAAGCCATTGCCGATAGATTACTCGAACTGGAGGCATTTAAAAGGGCTCATCCATACAGACAAATCGACTGCCCCGCGGATCTTAAAGAAAATTAGACGTGGTTGCCATTAACAATAAACTTTTTAAGTAAATAAATAGTAATAAAATTACATTGTGCTAATCTCAATGTTTATTAGGAAATGCCTGAGTATGTAAATATTGTATGTGCATGCTTTTCCCCTTAATATAGGACGTATCGTGTAACCGACTTTCTTCCACAATAATAACATAACGTGAAAAAAAAGCAAATATGAAACGGTTTTTAGTGTAGTGTGTAGCTCATTAAATATGCAAATGGGTGATTAATAATTAATATATGAACATGACCTAATCGAAATTTGGAATTTCGAAAATCAATAAATTGATTTGTCAACTCGTGAGCTTGCAATTGTCTACGTAGCTTACAATCTCGCGTACCAGTTTTTTTTTCAGGATTTTCAGGATTGTCGCGACATAAGAAAAACAATTTAGGGGTGAAAAATGAGTGTGACCAAACCTTCCATATGATAATTGCCGAGTTTTACGTTACAATAATATAAACGTTCGAACTTTCTGAGTTATGTTACCCATTTTCTCGGTAGCTCATATATCCTAAGTTTTATTTAACTATTTGAGTTCCTTTTTCTTATAAAAAACGGTTTCCTCTACTCTCCAAATAATTGACTTATCGTTTTTAATCTCTGTCCCCTTTGGAACTTACATGGGTAAAGGCAAAATGAACAGCGAAATTGTGGTCATCAAAGCGAGATACAACCTCGGTAAAAGGAAAATTGCTCGTAAGCTTCTTATTAAAAAGGACATCAAGTTGGTGGATTTAGAAGATAAAGTAATGTTCAACTAACCCTTCTCGATCTTGTAATTATCAAAATTGTCGAAAATGTAATTCATCATAGTCTAACTATCCAGATCTTTTCGATAATCTGTTTAATAGCTACATGATCGTTTCGACGTCAACTACGACAAGAAAATCGAAATTTATTATTTGGACGAGGAAAAGGATTACGTTGCTATTACCCATCAGGAAGAATTGGCCCTTGCCATGGAAACGGAGGATTCATTAACATTGGAATTGATCGTCAAGAGTAAGGTATTGTGACCACTTTTCATCATCGTAATCATTCTTGGTACCGTGAACTTTTTTTAATCCATGATGCTCCGATTCTACAATTGAAAGATTGTCGAATCTTTCTGCACTTACCCGAAGATTTCTAGGGGAAATCCCGGTGATATTATAGATGTTTTAATTGAAGATCAATGGCTTACACTATCCAATGCACTAAGAGACGATACGAAGGCTTGGGGAACTCACATTTACACCGAAGATTCGGATGTCGTAAAAGGTAATGTTATGGTTTATAAATATACTTGATATTTCCACAATTTCCGAATTTCCAATAACCTTCTGCATCATCTATCTCTTAAACAGCCCTGGCTCACTCGGAGAAGATTGATTTGGCCGATTTGCCCCCGCAATATAACATCGTTGCCACCTTACGTTTCTTACCTGGCTGCATTAAGTATATCGGTTCAACTGTTCAAGGAATAACCACCTTAAATTATGGTCCTTACGATTTGAGCTACATCATTGAAGATGTGAGAGCTGTCCCTTTGGATAATTAAAAATCTTAAGTTAACAAAGAACTTTCCCGTTTAGAAGTAATTTAATACTGTATTAGAGAATGTCATTGGTGTGAATTACAAGATTGCCTTGTGAATTACATCTGATTTAGATCAATTTTTGTTGGATTTGATTATTAATATAATTTTTTTATGCAACCTAGCTTATTATCTGAATTTCTTTTTTTAAAATAATGAACAAAAAAAAACATTTGATTTTATTATTCATAAAAAAATTTTTAAAAGAATAAACAAAAAAAAAACATTTGATTTTATTATTCATAAAAAATTTTTTTCGGGATATGCTGAATGAAACAACGTGTCGACCAAACTACTGTATCAAATTTATGCATCATGTACAGTTGTTCGATGTAAAAATCATTGGACTATCATTATATTTGTATTTTTTTATTCTCAATCCAATCACTAACTGATAAGATAAAATAATAATCCGCGTATAATGCATGATCTTGAAATAAAAAAGCAAGATTAGATAGTACTGTACGTGATTTTAAAAACATGACAAAAATTCTTTTAATCAAAATAAATAAATAAATAATACTTTTCTATGGTATTTGTTAATCTTCATCTTTGTAAATTAAAAAATATACTGTATATCTCTACTGTAAAATTTACAAGATGAAATATTTTTTACGTTTGTTTTTTTATATACCAATATTAAAATTCAAAAAAAACAATTTTTTGTTAAATTTTATATGTAATATACGGTATTTATATTATACATATTTTGTATATTTTAAATCGTTATAAAAATTTTATTTTATTTTTTTTACATTATTAGATTTTTATTTCATATTATATTAGCATTGAAGTCGATTAAAGATAAATAAACTATATATTTTTTAAAACAAATACAGCATATGGCTGATTCTTTTTGAAAATGACAAAAATATTATATACAATTTTTTGATCTTTATTTTTTGAACAATACATATACAATATAAATTCTAGGAGTACAATTATAAAGTCTAAAAAATTCCTGTCCACCTTCAAAAAGAATTATTCATACCCATATATTTATATTTATATATTTATTAATATTATTAATACTATGTGTATTTTTACAAAATAATATTTTCTTATTTGAATTATTATAAATATGTGGATATATATTAAGATATAGAAAATAATTTATTTTTTTTTCTTTGAATTTTTGGATACTGTAAATAAATAATAAAAATAATAATTAGATTTTTTATGTTAAAAATTATTGACAAAAAATATTATTATGAGATATTAATTTGAAATTCAGTTGAATAAATAAATTTGATTTCAAATATTATATATTATTGCATTACCATTATTATTATTATTATTATTTAAGATAAAAATTATGCAAATCAAATTTAAATTTTTTAAATCTAATTAAATTCAAATTAAATTTATAGTACTATCAATAAGAATTAATAATTTTTTTTTATCAAATTAATATTTATATTAATTAAAAAATTTTTATTGGTATTTTAAAATAATAACAATATTATTTTTTTGATATTAATAGAATTTATCAAGTTCAAATATTAAAAAATTTTATTATTATATCAAAAAAATTTTAAAATAGTTATTATTATTTAAGTTATAATAGATATTAAATATTGTTTTCTGTTTTTAAAAATATTTTAAATAATAAATTTATTATAATATAGAGACTTTAAGCTTATTTACAAATAGTAAATAAAATCTTTTAATCATATATACATATAATAATAAAATAATAATATTAATTAATTATATTTTATAATGTTATAAAATTTTAAATAAAAAAATTTTTTTTTATTAATTATGAAATTAAAACTTTAGGTTATATTATAATTAAAAATTTTTTTAATTTAATTTGTTTTAATTTTAAAAAGTTATAATTAATTAAATTATATATAATATTAAAATTTATTTCTACCAAATTGATATGATAAATTTTTCTATACTTTAAGTTTTATTTTATATAAGAATAAAATTCTTGATTAAATTCTTTAAAACTGAATATTTTATAAATAAAAATTATATAAAAAATAACTTTTGATTTAATATTTTTTCACTTGTATATTTAGATATAGATATATATATTTAACAATAATTAAAATTAGTTTATTTCTATTAAAAAATTATAATATCTTCTGATATTAACAATAACAATAATAACAACTATTAACAATTTATCATATAATAATATTAATTGAATAATTTTAAAAAAAGCAATTATATGAATACTAATATATAGTTAATATTTATAGCAATATTAATAATTAAATATTTAGAAGTTATATACTGTTTGACAGTTTTGTTTCTAAATTTGGTAATTTAAACCAATCAAATCTTTTGAAATATTTATTAGAAAATTTTAGAATTATATTTCATTTAGTTTTTAAAATTCTTAGATTTAATAGTTTATATTAACCAAAGATTATAGTTTCAAAGTATTTATTAAAAAGTATATATCAATGTTAATTTCTTTTGTATTTATAATTATATAAGTTGAAAATGTAATATAAGAAACCATTTATTATTTATTAATGTATTAAGTTTTTTTTTTATTTGTTACTATTTATTTTTCAACAAATTGTATAGTTTTTATATAATTATCTAGATAAAATATTGGTTTTAAATTTTTTTTTCTAATATAGTTTAAATAAGTATTTGAAAAATTAATATTTAACCTATATAACTCGAGAGATGCCAATTCTTATTAAATGTATATTTTTATATACTGTATATACTATAATAAAGAATTGAAAATTATTAAAAAACATATTTATCTTGTTTTATAAAAATTAAATAAAAAAATATATTCAATTATTTTTTAAATTAATTCTAAAATAGATTTAAATAATTTTTTCAAAATTTTTATATTAATAACAATAGAATATTTTATTATATAATTAAATAAAAAACAGAAAAATATTTTATATAATATTATACTAGTGATAATTAAAAGTTGCTATTAAATAATTTGTATTATTATAAAATTTTTATTAATTGTATATTAGGCCTTAGATTAAAATCAAAAAATTATAATATTTTCAAATAATTTAAATTATATTTAAGTCAAAATCATTTTTTTTATAATAATAAAATTAGTTTTAGTCATTTTTGACTTAATAAAAAAGTGTTGGATTATTTTTATCATATATTTGCTGACCTTCTTGATATAATGCTTATATCAAATTAGTTGGGCACTTGATTAATAAGTCACAATATCAACAAGATAAAACCTTCTTACACATATCCTGACCTTCGAGTTCTTAACAGTCTACTGTAGATTATTAACGTTCATAAAGAGTCCTGAAGGCCACATCAATTGGGCATATCACAGCTGAAAAACGGTAGAATAGTCTAAACAAGGTTTTTGTCCACTTCTTTGTCATATTTAAACATGTGTTTTGCAATCTTCTTGTCATAGGTAATGGGTCAAGCTTGACGAGCTTATTCCAGGGATACATCTGGAGCAGTAGTTGTCTATCATCTGATGGTAAGGTATTAATTGCCTTTGTAGATATTTGTAGGTAAGTTTTCGTTCTCGTGGGATGGCAACCAAGTGATGTTAAGATCCTCCAGAAACTCGTCCAAATGATTGTCTGAAAATGTGGTTGATTGCTTGCTGTATTATTTTGGAAAGAAATAGAGTTGAGTAAATTATTGTGTTCCGTATCAGACATATTTAGAGGAGGTGTGATTTTTCGTGCAGAGAAAAAATGACCTGTTGGATCTGATAGAATATAATAGGCATTTATTAGATAGAACACAATAGAATGGCACAATAATGGTGTAATGTCAGGATATTTTGACAAACCCTAATGAATCCGCGGGCGATCTCGCAAACTCGTGAAAGAACTTGATAAGTTTAATGTTATTTTTGACATTATGCAAACCAACGCTGTATGGTTTCTCTACTTCTTGAATAAAATTGTTGCGAGGCAAATAATTTTGAAATAATCTGATCATCTAAATCCAATTGTGTTTTTACCATTGTCTGAATATATGCTCTTCACTATATCCCAAACATAATAACATAATTAAGAATTTGATCAGGAATAGTCTACAAGGTTACTTTACTCTTTAAATTTTTTAGCTACAGTGACACTCCTCTTCACAAACGGTAAAGGTTTTATGCGGCAAATATTTGGATATTATGAAGAATCGGGTTTTCACAATATCATTGATGAACTATTTGGTTCGCTAGGAGACCAATGTTATTACACGTGTTTATTTCACCAAAGAATATTCAGGTTTCCCCCTCCTAGAATTTTGCTGAATTTCGGCGAGGTGTCGCTCGCTGGCAAAAAACTGAACCTTAATCACACAGGCTAGAAACCAATCAGACTTGTCAAAATCAGAATTGAGTTGGTAATATTTTCTTAAATAAACATAGTAATACACCTGGCCTCCCCACAAATAACAACGGGAATATTCGCCTGCACTCTCAGCAAAATCAATATCATCTTCAACATCTTAGAAATCTTATGAGATCCATTTAGCAGCTTGTACTTTTTGTTAGACTTTAAATGTCCACTTTGTGTAAACATTAACAATTCGGGATCAATTGCAAACAGATTTAAACCAGTTCAGTTGATACTGGAGGCAAAGTAGCCCTGACAGAAGCAGAAATTATTCTGTGCTGGTACAGGTTTATCATCTGTTTCCATAGTGTCCTCAACCACACCTTTCCGGGCGGCAACTTCACCACGACGAATTCTCTCTCCTCCAAGTTCTTTATAAATCCATTCTAATTCTTGCTCGCAAATTTCGCATTTAATACTTTGTCGCTTAGCGGTTTCTGTTCCAACTTTGGCAAGTTTCGTACGCCATAAAATCAATCTCTATTTCTTGTCAATATATTGACCAGATCAAATTTGTCTTTACCAAAAATGTTAATTAATTCATTTTCGCAGTTACATGTATTTCATTCTAATTCAAGTATTTGCATGGTATTCGCCGTCTTTTCTTGTGTGGTGCATGGATCTGAATAGTTATTTGTCATTAGACGCTGAAGACAGAAAGCATCAATATCATGCGAAGATATTTTTTGTAAAGCCTTTGCACCAGTGACCTTTGATTTGGCAGTATTTGGACCAATGGCAGTTCTGAATCCTTTGTTTTTTTCATCTAAGTGACCGACCCTCTACCTTCTTCATCCTCAACCTGACCAACGCCTAATATACTTGTTGCCAATGCTTTCACACCACCTTCTTCATCACCTTCCTCCTTGGACTTGACTTCATATTTTCCAAATTCATCATCAATGTCGCCTGAAAGTTCACCGTCATTCATGGCATCCTCAGGATGACAATCTATTATTTTTTCCCCTAAATTCACTAGTTGCGCAAACCTATTTGGTGCAATGATACCAATGACCGTTTCAATTTCTCTTTTTTGTCCGTGGTCTGTAAGACAACCCATCAAAATATTCAGTAGCCACCAATATATTAGAATATCTTTAGGCTTTTTTTAATGCACTAGAGAACAAATTTATTTAATAAAAAAAATCAAGGGAAACAACTCGAAAAAAAAAGGGTAATATAAGACGAACCGATACTCTTTTCCTCGTATCTTTTTCTTCTCCATTTCTGCAGCCTCCTGTGCTTTTTTTTCTTTTTGATTGTAAATCTTTTACGGTGTCCCTTTATACTCTGGTACCAGAATATTTCAGGTTGATTTTCCCCATAACGATTCTGGCTCACCAGAAGGATCGATCTCGACGCGGTAACTCTTATCGATTTGCCAAGATTAGAGTTAGCGGTGTATAAGTTAATACCAATCTTAAATAATAAACTCACCGTGTTGCTTAATTATCCAATATACATGTACAGTAATTTCGTTAATGCGGCTAATAGAAAGATCGGAGCTTGTGTTTCTAGCAGAAAACAAATATTTCCGAAAAAAAATATTATTAAGAGAAAGTTAGCAAGTATTCAGAATCAGTCAGATCAAAGTCATCTCACAAGCTAGAGCTTAATCTGACCCAAACCCAACCCAATAAACTTCGGGTCGGGTTTTTTCTTTTATCTGTGTCAACGTTGATAGAATGAAAATGAATAGAACTTAGACCGATAAAATCTCATAATACTTACCTAATTTACCTCGCCCAATAAATTCCTAAATCTCATAAACTTGCCAAATCCTTCCCCCTTGTAAACTTATCTGAACGTCGTGACCATGTCGTGGGCATGTCGCAACCATGACCCGCAATAATAGAATAATTCTCTTAATAGTGGATCGTCCGGCAAGGTAGGATTGCACCTTCCAATAAAAGACATATATATCTATCTCATTTACCAAATATTCCTTGAAGAATCACGCTTCATAAATCCAGATAGTATAAAGTTAGTGTACGGTCAAATTTCATAAATTTTTATGATAGAACTTACTGAATAACCTGCAATCTAACTCGATAATCTGCGGTCTAGAATTAAACCTGAACCTGAAACACTACCCGTTCAGATAATGTTTTATATTTCCGAGTCACATTAAGTGAACAAAAACTTACATACACTGGATGGACGAAAGTTTACGTCCGAAGCAATTGTCTTAAAACGAATGATCATTAAACTTACAAGGTTCACATTCTGTTGCCAGATTTCGATACTTAACCGATAAGAGACGCAAAACTTTAGTAGTTAATATCCAATCGAGATTATTAATTCTATTGAGTGTGAAAAAAAAAAATAGTTGTAGGTAAATCTATCCTATAATGATTGACGTGTAGATAAACGCAGTCTGATTGCTTTTAAATAGCGCGCCCTAGTAAACATCAATGTAATAAGCTTGGGTTCCTTTAAGATAGAAGATTTTAGTTAAATAATAATAAATTTTTTAACTTAATTACTTAACCAATTTAAATATAATTTTTATTTACAAAAATTATCTCGTATATTTCGCGTAAATTACATTATACATTAAGTTTATTTCGCGTAAAACACGCGTTAATTAAATATCTACGTATATACACCAAATATACACCAAGGCCAAACATTTAATACATTTCTTATAAAAAATTTATCAAACAAAAACATCTTGATGTTCTAACTCATATTACGTCCGAAGCTTATCTATGTATTCCTACGTTATACACGAAACATATGAAACATAACAGAACTTTTCGAGAAAACTTGATCGTTCGTCATATTACCTAAAGTAGTGTCAATGGTTTTCGTTAGAAAATGTTACCTAGTATGCTACAGAGAATAATGAAGTAGGAGATGTGAACTACACTAATATAACTCGACCCTCCTATTTGGTCCCGGGGTATTAGCGTATTAGCGAACACTACTCAGGACTTTCGTGAGAAGTCACCACTCCAAAATTCAGAAAACGAATAATAATAAAACCGAAAAACAAGACAATAAAGGGTAGCGGGTTGACTTTAACTGCAAACATACCTGTGAAGAAATATCATGTATGCGTGATAAGTTTTCGTGGTAGGTTTTTGTTAATTATCTTCACTAAGAAGGTTAGGATATGTGTAAGGATAAAGTGTTTGGGAAAATATTTTTTTTGTGACTTATAAATAATGGATTATCAGTTTTATCAGTGCTCAACTGATCAACTAGATAGTGATATAAACATTATATCATAGAAAGATTATAGATGACAATTTATTATACGAGCAGGAAAGTGATAATTTTCGTATTTTTAATGTCTAGCGATTTCTATATAAAAAATAAAAAACCTTAATTTATTTAGTATATGTATTATATTTAATAATTTTAAAAAATTAAAATTAAGTTTAAAATAATATCTTGAATTCATTTTTTAATATATAATAAATATAATCAAAAATACAGTATATAACTTTAATTGTTTTATTTTACAGTATATTATTAATTGACAATTTTTATTTTCAAATTTCAATTTAATTAAGAATTTGTAGACACCACTAAAAAAATATATTAAAAAAAAGGTTAGTTTTATAATTTATAAAAAAAACTGTTTTGTAAAATAATTTTATTGGGATAATAAAAAGAGAAGTAAAAGTAAATCAATATAAAGTTATAAAATAAATTAGTATTATATAGAGTTTCTAATGGTACTATTTTAGTACCAAGTTAATACTATATTGATATTGGTTTAGAATTCTAGTATAATCAATATTTAAAAGAATAAATTAGTAATAAATAATAGTAATAGAAAAAAAAATACTAATATATATATATATATTATATTTTAAATAATATCTATAATAAAAGTTTTTGATTTTAAAAATAAAATTGAATAAATTTTATTTAATTACTTGATTATTATTATTATTATTATTATTATTTTTTTTTTATCGCAAACAGGCATTAAATGCGAACATTTATTAAACATCAGTTTATCGTCATTATATTAACAATCTTTAGTTACAAAGTAATTAAATTAATTGTAGCCTATTGCAACTAATCAATCAGCACGCATTGAGACCAAGTAGGTCTTTACATGTTGA